CTGTGTTTCTGTTGGAGCCAAGGTGCTCAAGATTTGTAGGGTCAAGACTCTGATCATCTTCAGGAGAAAATTGTGCTGCCTACAACACAGGTCTGGGGCTCAAGGATTTGCTGTTAAGTCCTGCACAGGTCTCCCTTGCTGTGGTGGACAAGTCCTTGACTCTCTGGTATCTTTCTATGTATAGACTCACAGAATCATTCAGGTTGGAAAAGACTCACAAGACCATCAAATAATGCATATGAAAGGAAGGTGCCAAAAATGTCTCATTCGGAGGCTTGTGGAGAAACTTACAGCTGGTCACGAGATGCTTGGATATCACCAGCAACAGAAGGGAGCCAAGATGGAGTATCTGATTCATCTACAGGCTTCTCATTATTGAAAATGCTCTGAGGGGCTAGAAAAAAGGTAATTGCACTTCAGATGGAAACAACGACTAAAAAATTATCCTTGATGGTTGATTTTTTTCTCTCTAGAGGGCTGTGGATACAGCTTGTAACTGCCTATAACCATTTTTAATATGAGATAATTTCTGCTTCGATGATCTCGCAGATCTCAAGGATATGCTAACATTTACCATCAACTATTAGATCTACATAGGAATATTTCACTACTTCACTACTAGCACAGATGATGCTCATGAGAGGTTGCTTAATTATACCTACATTTTTGAAGATGAGAGATAAAAATAAATATTGGTACAAATCAACATGATTATATGGGTATGAATAATTTTGTCCATATTGGCTTTTTCCTTTCCCACTGCTGATGGTTTTTACCTGATTTGCAGAGATTTAATGGATGATTGTTTCTCTCCCTGCACAATTCAGATGAATTGGTTTGGTTTTGCATTGCAAATGCAGTTGATGTAATGAGACATGGGCTCTTACAGCTCCTGGCATGCACATGGCTCTGGCCAGGAGTGCAGGAGAAGAATTCTGACCCTGTCTGACCAGCAGGAGTGAGCTGGGGAGAGCCTGAAGCACATGGACAGAGCAAAGGTACCCCTTCATCTTACTCCAGGGAAGTCTTTCTGGTTTGGGTACTCCATTGATTTCATCACTTATTTTTTCATGTTATTAAGCTGCAGTAGTGTGTTAGATTGAAAAGTTTTTCTTCCCTGGACATCACAGGTTAGCAGAAATCTTTTATTTGAAAGACACTCTCAAATTCCCATGTTTTCTACTAACAGAAACAGAGACTTGGAATCACTTATCCCATATAATTTTCCCAGGAAAGGGTAGGGATGGCCACTGGTCCACAGCTCAGCGAGGATGGAGGATTTATCTCTTTTGGGAGACAGAGGAACAGCACAGAACTTGTCTGTCAGTATCCATGTGCATAGGCCTGCCCTTGGTGTAATGCATGGCAGGAGACCAAACCATTCTGAAAGTGGAGGTGCCATGAGATGGCTGTTCTTAGCACAGCAAACCCAGGCACACCAGTAATGCCTGCACTGGATTCTCCCCAGCAAGTATTTTGTGGTTCCTTTCTCTGGTTCTCCAGGAGCATGAGAAGGTCAGAATAGTTTCCTTGGCCAAGGGAGCCATACATGCAGGATTTTGCCAACTGATTGACAGTTAGGTGGTGATGGACATGTGGACATAAAACTTTGCTCCACAGGCATCCACCTGCAGCTGTTGGGGTGAGGGAAAGGGGCTCCTTCTTCTCATTCTGCCAGTAGTTCCAAAGGGAAAGTGTCCCCAGTTGTTTGGCACTGCTCCAGGGCTGGGTCACTCAGGACCATCTCTCTTGGTGTCAACACAATGTGTGTGTTAAAGGCAATCAGGAGTTCTCATGCAGAAGACCCATGACACTCAAACATCAATAAATTCCAAAATGAAGGGTTTGATCATAGCATTATAAACTTCCCACGTGAACCATTTTGAATGACTGGAGGGTGACAATCTAAATATAAATGTAATTTCTTTTTTAAAACTGACTTCAGGCACATATATACAGCTTTGGTTGACTTTCAAGAGGAGTCTGTGGGAACATCTGACAGCAAAATTAAGTTATATGTTTCTTGTGGGAGTTCGTTTCCTCCAAAAACAGCAAACGCCTTGATTCCCTGGCAGTCAGGTTTTTAAACTTGTAATCCTAGCAGGATATGAACTGTTTTTAATTACCCTCAGTGTCAGAATTTTGTCCTTTGAAGGAATCACTTGGGGCGTGAAGGGGAACAAGGACATTTGGTGCAAATGTGAGGGTGTGATTCATTTTTAGGGCTGGTGTGGTGATCAGCTCAGCCATGGAGGTTTTGGCACCGATTTCAGCAGGTCACAGGGTCACACACAGCTTTTGCATTAGTATGGGAGAATAAAGCAGTGGGAAGGAAACAGAGGACTTGGAAGCAGGCAGAGGAATAAATGGGGTAAGAGACCAATTAAAGTGGATAAAAGCAAAGAGAAAAACGGTGGGCATGGTGAGGGCTTTAACAACTTGTACAGCACATTTCAAGGGTATTTCAGGTGAAATCTTTTTTGGAGTACTCATTCAAATAGCGTCATTTCCACCAAAATAACTGGTTACATGACTAGGGTGAGGTGGATTTTAACCTTTATATAATCTTCCTGTATAAATGCAACAGTTGCACAAAATGTACTTTTTGGATATGGTGTAGGGGGAATGGAGAATCAGGTTGGTAAAGACTTCTGAGATCATCCAGTCCAACTTTAGACCGAATAACACCATGTCAACTTGGCCATGGCACTGAGTGCCATGTCCAGCTGTTTCCTGAACACCTCCAGGGATGGTGACTCCACCACCTCCCTGGACAGTCCATTCCAATGCCTGATAACCCCTTCCAGGAAGAAATTCTTCCTGATGTCCAGCTGAACCTCCCCTGGCACAACCTGAGGCTGTATCCTCCTGTTCCTGGTTGCCTGGGAGAGGAGCCCAGCCCACACCTGGCCACAACCTCCTTTCAGGGAGTTGTAGAGTGATAAGATCACCCCTGATCTTCCTCTTTTCCAGGTCAAACACCTCCAGCTCCCCCAGTCACTCTTTGTGGGATTTACCCTCTAGACCCTTCACCAGCCTCATCCTCTGGACTCACTCCAGCACCTTGAAGGTGTCAGTGTGTTTCTGGGCATGATCAGGTGCCCACTGGAGATGGAAGGACAATGAAACCCCGCCTCAGGAAAAAACAGCAGCAGTTGCATCATGCCAATGAAGTTTTCAGCTTGGTGTCTGGAACCACCGAAAACCCCAACACACGATAAACCCCCAAATCTCAGTGCACAAGGTCCAATGAATCACCTCTAATTGCCTCATCCCTTAAACACCAGCCCTGTGCAGTGGTGTCTGTCCCAGTGTGGCACAGCAGTGACATGCCAGCAGGCAGCCTGGACACCGAGCTCATAACTGGTGTGAGCATGGGAAAAAATCCCAGCAACACATTTGGGAGCTCAAGGCAGCTCCACCATCCTGGTGATGGAAGTATAAATGCAGCCCTTAGGTGAGGGCTGGATCCTGCTGTAATAAATTGGATTATGGGCTATTTTTACATTGCTGCCTCAGGAGAGGGTTTTGGGGGCCTGGAGAGAGATGCATGCAATGGCTGGGAATTGGCAGCCCTGTGTCCACTCCTAAAGGGGTCACAAATCATCTGAGCAAGCCAACCCAGGCTTACCTGAGGGCAATATGGATGACCTTCCTACCAGCAGCAGAAAGAGGGGAAATAATCTCCCTTGAAATCCTCTCCCGTTGAACTTGCTGCCTTCTTCCACCTCCTGATATGCAGCAAGACTGGATGCTTTCACAGAGGCCTTCACCTCAGCAGCAGCTGTGGGAGCTGCTGGTGCTGCTCTTCCACTCTTTTGCTTTGTTGCCTTCTTGGAGAGCAGAGCTCAGTGATTTTTTTTTTCCCTTTAGGAAATGAGCTGAACCAACTGGTAACTCCTCAGCTATATATTTCAAATCAGGAAGGCACTTGAACAGTAACATCAAAATATAGTAGTGTAAAAAGAGTAATTATTAGAAACAAAAGAGGGATTTTCTGATTTTCTGTAATTATGAATATCTACTGGATTAGTAGGATTTTCCCACAACACTCTATGATGGAGAAATTTATGGCTGGAACTGTGAAGAATTTAAAAGAGTCTGAAAATCTTAACTTATTTGAAGCATGGGAGACCCTGAATAAATCCCAGGGGAATTAGACTCCCAGCACAGCAATTCTGTGGACACCCAAAATCAGTGAAATGACAGCTAAAGAGAAAAAAACTTCCCTCTCCCCTTCACTGCTAGGCCCAGCATAACTTTTGGTGGCTGCAACTCTTCCACCCTTTTCCTTTCTGCTGGTAGAGTAAGTTGTGTGTGTGTTGGCAGGCAGGGGCTGTCACACCAGCCCTTGCAGGTTTTGTGTCTGGCTGGAGGCTGCAGCAGCAAGTGCCATCCACAGCCTATGCCCGGCACCAGCTCTTACTGGGGCTTGATTTATTTAGCTGAGGAGATGGGGAGAGCAACAGGGCTTTGCCTGGGTTTATCAACCAGAAAGCTTTGCCCTCTGGGTCCGTGTTATCTGGCAAGATTAGCAAGCCTCCATGTTTGGTGCAGTGACATTTCTGTCGCAGCATGATTGATCTTTTAAGTGCCTTTCTAGTCAGTATCAAAATTCCCAAGATTTATCTTAATACCTTGGACAGATGGCTTCTATTGATTAGAATGGAAGTTATGGAGAGGGGATATATGGGGAGTTCCTTGTAACTGTTTACAGAGCAAACAGTTTCCATCTGCTCTCTATTTTATTGCTAAGCAAAGGATCACTCAGCTGCAGAATTTAGCAGATGACCATTGGGTTCATTTGAAGCACATCCCACCAGTTGTTATCCCACCTGCCTCTGCTCAAACATACACAGTTTACCCAACACCTGGAGACTTGTGGGGTCTCCACATATGGTTCTGAGCTCTCTACACATTTCCAAGGGGGGGTGTCTCACCCTGGAGGTGTTTCTGCCTCGCCCCCCACATTCCATGCTCAGAAGAAAAGACAAGAGTACTCGCATGCACATCCCAGACAACATTTTTTCTCCTGTTTATTTGAAAAGTCTTTGTAGTAGCTTAACTGCAACATTCCAAACGTCACCTGGAATTTTACATCCTCCCAGACGTAGAGAATTCATACTTGATCATGTTTCACGGCATTAAAAACACACAGGAATGTTCCCTGGACACCACCAGTTGGTTCTTCCACAGTCTCCTTAACCACCAGCTCTACACATCCTCTGCCAAGGCCTCTGCACCGCTCTGCAAAGCAGCTGCACCTCAGCTGCCTCTGCCTCCTGGATCCATAACCATGTTTCTGTGAATGAAGGGGTGCCAAGCCCAAAACACCCATTTTTGTTCGCAAAGTGTAAATATCGAACCAGCAGAAACGTGATCCGTATTTGATTGGCTTCTTATATGGCTTTGAGTCCTCTTCATTCAAAGATCTTACAGTGGAAAAATCCTGAGCTGACATCAAAAGTGGGACTGACTCGTTAAGAGCACTCACAATTATGGTATGAGTTGGAGGCTAAGTTCCTGTCAACCCATGATTAAAGCATTTTTACAACTGACACTTGTTTAAAAAGATTTTCAATCTTGAAATTTATTCCAGTTTAATGTTTTGCAAGGAAGCATTATCTGAAGGAGAGTAAAAATCTATGTTTTCCAATTAACAATTTACAGGAACTTATGCTTCTTCATTTCACCTCTTAACTTGGTAAACACAATCAAAATTGTGATGGAAAAATACATGCATCTCCTTTTGACTTCTAGCAGGCATTTAAGTCATTACATCTATTTATCTATTTATTATTTACTACCTGCAATTCAACCAAGTTACTCCATATTCAAGCCACAGGAACACTTGCTTCTTAGACCTACCATCTCTTTTGGTTTATTTAGGTAATCTCTGTGTGGTTCAGCTCTTTGGGAGTGTGTTGAGTGACATCAGGCACTGGGACCTGCTGCAGATGTTTCTGGATGGTAAAATGTCCTTTTTTTTCTGACCAACACTCAGCTGAAATGTCTCTGTTGTTAAAAATGTCCCTGGCTAATACCCACATGCACAGTATGTGACAGTAAATTGCTTGTGTAACACTTGCTGCCATCCTCTGATTTCAGTAGCAGGAATGTGAAATGCCCCTAACAGTGTAGAAACAGATACAGAAATTTGTTCCAAAAGTGCCATTTTGGTGCTGAAGCTGCTTGTAGGGCAATGTTCAGAACCCCAATCAATCAGTCTGATGCCTGAACCCAATCAATCAGTCCTGAACCCAAACTTCTCCCACTGCCATGTAAACATCTATCTGCTGCAAACAGAGGCAACTCTGCTCACAGCTTTTTCATGTGAGATCCTTACACCTCATTCAATTATTTTGCTTGTCTGAAATGCTGATAATGGGTGTTTGGGTTTTCTGTTTGGGGATTTTTTTCCTCCTTTTTTAAAAAAAAAAACAGCATCACTTGAAGTTCAGCTGCCAAATGGACTGAACAATCAGTGCAGGAAAATTGAAAATCATAACATCTTGTGTGTAGGCTATGAATAATGGGCAACACACTTTTGATCATTAAAATAGAAAATGATCTGTTTTCCACTGTTTTTAGCCCATTAAGAAGGCAGGAATAAGAGCACACTGCTGATGATTTGCACCACTCTCCTGGCAGTACAGTCCTTGGCTGCAGACCAGGGGCTGGCAGTGGGATGGATCCCACCCTGGTGGGGGCTTGGCTGGAGGAGGCAGCTGTGGTTTGCCATGACCTTCAACTGCTCTCCAAAAGCCACAGACACCCCAAAGCAGGGACATTTTGTCCAGTTTCTGCTGGGGGCTGGACCAATATTCATGGTCCATGGGCATGCTTAAATTTGGGAATGGAGGCAAGCCCACCCCTGAGCGCTGTGCAGACCAAAGAATGTCCTCAGATATATTTTGCTTTCTTACAGGCACAGCAAATGTAAGCCTTGCACACCCTGGTGCAGGCAGAAACCAAGGCTTTTTCCCAAAAGACGCAGGTGCATTGAGCATTGGAAAAGAATGATAATTTTGTGACACATGCCTGAGCTTTGGGGTCCAATTGTATATTTTAGCACCTTACTTTCTGTTCAGAACATCACTTACTTTTGTTGATTCTCTGTACTGGTAAGACAATTTTTCTTGTTTTACTGATAAAGATCTCCTAGCAAATATAGCCAGACTTGGTAATTAATTTATCTTGTAATATCTATATATGCTGTCATCATATGGAAAGTCTAAACAAATCTCTCTATCCATTTTATGAGAAGGATCACAGCATGATCAGTGCTTTGCCAGTGCAGAGACACTGAAAAGAGCTAACTGGAGTGTGCCAAACACTCCAGTTTCAGGAATAAACAAGGGTTCCAAGGTGACCAAAACCAGGAACAGCCTAGCACAGGCTACAGCACTTTGCTGTGCTTCTCAGGAGAGGCTCAATGCTACGTCCATTATAATTTTTAGTTTTTTAGTACTGGCAAATATCTCCTGAGGCTCAGCAAAGGGAACTGCCTGGATCCACCCAGCCAAGCTGCTTTAACCACTTCAGTGCCAACTCCCAGCCACCAAACCACCCTCCAAAATAACATTGTTGGGTGTCACGAGCCCATCCATCACTCTTGACCCTGTAGCTATGTGGCCTGTTTGATAAAAGTGGTTAGCAGCCAGTTGAGCCCTGTGATTTATGTTTCTTTGCTTGAACTGGAATCACATTAACATGCCCTTGGTTTACAATGGCCAAACAGGTACAAATATTCAGATTTTGAAGGCTTATACATGGAATTCTGTTTGCAGCAATCAGATAGGCTTGGTTTCAATCCCTCTAAAAGCTCTATTCATAGGAGCAAATGTACAGCATAGGGCATTTTCTAAATGGGACTTACATACTTCTGACTTTAAGAATTTGAAACAAATTAGACAGAATGGGCAAATGAAATAGGCAAGTATTGTTACACACAACTGAATTAGAATACTTCACAGAATTCATGTCAAGTAATTCTGTTGGTAGAAAAAATATTTGGTTTGCTAATTCCAACCATGATACAATTTACAATCAGATTCTAGATTTTACAAAACAATTTAAAAAAGAAAAACGTTCAGAAAAGTGACTAATTTTGATGTGTCTGGGAATATTTGCTGGTGTTCATATTTCAGTTATTTGCAATCAATGCAAAAAGGAAAGCCATACCAACTAGAAAACAGCACTGAACTGATCGTTCCTTCTAGAATTCAATGCAGAAACGAGCAAATACCAAAACCAGGCGAATTAGCTCCAGATGTAAAATTTTGAGGTTTGTAGTAGGAGACAACAATGCCAGCTCAGCTAAAGATATCTACCAAGCTGTGCCCTTTCAAAAAGAAACAAAATAAACAAGAATGCTTTTCAACAGGTTATCTCGAAACTCAAGTAATTTAAATTGGCTGTAAATTTGGAATGAATATTTTTGCTGAGAGTATCCAACAAAGTAGTATTCTAGTGAGCTAAAAATGGGTTTGTATCTGTAGAATTATAGCATTTTTATTTTTGTAAATAAACAATGTTTACACACACACAAAAAACCCCACAAACAATCCCCAAACCATGTTTTAGACATTGTGCTTTCAGATACTGAGGTTTTACAATAAAACTGGAACTGAATTCTTGCACTGTCTGTGCAGCCCATGGATGATACTATGAGCAAAAAAATTTCCTGGACATAATTTTACTTGCCTGGAAATTATACCCATTGAGACAACCTGGCATTTGATTTGCGCATTGTCAGAAATAGTAGTAATTTTTTCATGTTGTTTATGTATGTTATTATAAAAGCATTAATCTTGTATTGACTCACTGGCTTTAAAAAGTACTCTTACAGTCTGCAAAGTACAAAAGGAATATGGAGACTTCTTTATGTCCCTTAGGTTTGAATCACCTGCTGAAGGTCTGATCCTGACAACACTTGGGATGTTGATGATAGGATGTTGGGATGTTACACACTTTCAAACCCAGCTACATCCTTACACCAAGTCTGGGCTTGGGAGCTGGCTGGGACACGCCTGGGTGTGACATGGTCCTGGGACTAGGAGGACTTGGAGGCATGGCAATCTGCACCTCTGATACACCCAAAATATTGATCAGCACTGTCAGGGACCGGCATGGCTGCTTTCCCAGTAAAAGCCACCAAGTGACCTCCTAAAATCAGCGCTGAATGAAGATGGTGACTGCATGCAGTCCCTTTCCCCACAGGAAAAGGTATTTTGTGAGAAATACCTCACATTTTTTGTCAGAAATATCTCTCTCCACATTCCAGACGAGGTAGCTGAGCCCATGATGCCACAGGAGCTCCTTGGGGGGTGACAGTGTCACAGTGTTGTGTGACGAGGAATAAACACGAGCGAATGCAAAGCAAGTCTTTGGTTTTCTGCTGGATTTGCTGGAGAACACTTCTGAACTTCCCCCTTTCCCCACACTTTTCACTCCTCAATAACAGTACACTTGCTGGGTTTTTTTTCCCTCATGCTAAATTGCCAGACTTTTTTGGGTGACCTACAATAAACTGTATCTGTATTTACTACTCCCTTTTTTTCCCCAGGGAAGGATGAAACACAATGAATTGAAAGGCTGCACATCTGCAGCCCCACTTCAAAGCTAAACTACACCACTCTGGATCCTTAGAGTTGGAAGTTAGGAATTGATCTTAGACCCCTTTTTGCCTATGCAAAATATAGGGCAATTGCATTTTTGAGGGTTTAAAGAGATAATTTAATTAAAGGGTGGATGTTATCAATTTAGAAAACAAGGATAAAAAGAAAAAGTGTACGTTTATTTATTGATAGCTGCATTCAGACTATGGCCATGTAAATTAGTTTCTTTCTTTCAGTGCCATTGCTACACAATATATAATGAACCCTTTACTGTGTATGTGCTAACACGCATAGCCTCTGTGTCAAAACAGTGAAACACTCCATACTTTCCTTTATTTTTCACAATGTAGTGCTTCTCTTTTCCTAGCATTCATGAAAGCATAATTTGAGCTCAAATATGGACATAGTCACACAAAAAAATTAAAAATTGCATACTGGTTGTACAATATGCAATGCACCCTTCATTAGTTGTTTTGTGTGAGTCAAGTAGTAAATTTTCCTAATTGTATTTATTATGTAACACAGCATTTATTGTATTATTTAAATGTAACACTGCAGACATGTGTTGGTTTGCAAAGGCACATTAGTAATCCAATTAGAGCAGCAGCCATACCCACAGAATTGCTAGGCTAGCAATCAGCAAAGTATGATTTTGTTGATATTAGCTCTGAACATTCACTGCGATGATTTGCCACTGAATATTTTTCAAGTTAAAGGCTAGAAAAATACTAAAATGTTAGAATGGTCTCATTGCTACAGCTAATTTCCATATAGTCATAAATTCATGCCACACAGGCAGTCAGGTTTATACTGAGCCCACTATGCCTGGCTATATGACCTCCCCTTCTGCTGAAGTCTTTCAGCAGCAAGGCATGCCTGAAATATGGGTAAATGGTCACAGTATTCTCAAATTTTCACCCACAGAAAGCTGGGGAGGAGAAAAGACTGAGGGCCAGCGCTGAAGCCGTTCTGGGACAGCAGCACTTCACCAACAGGGCATTTCTGGGTAACCTGAGCAGGGCACAGGGCACTCCCAGAGAGCTCTAGAGGGATTACTGCCTTCCACCAGTAATTCTGGTTGCAATCAGAGCTGGTAACTGCCTAAGGAACCTTTGTATGCATTGCTGTGCAATGCTGCTTCTGCAGGGGAGCAAAGCGCAGCCTCGTCCCTCAGACACTGCCCTCTGAGGCTGAGATTGCTCTGAACATCTGCATGGTCTGAAGGATGTCCTCTGCACTGCAAGGAAATAAAGAGCCATTTGAATTTTTTCAAAATGAGAACTGTGTTTGCAGATGGGAAGAAACCAATGAGAACCAGATGACATCTTGGTGTGACTCCAAACTTTCCCCAAGACACACACAGGGAAGACAGGCCCTGAGAGGTCAGTGTAGTGACTTGCCAAATGCTACAGGTTTCACAAGAAATTATTCCTTCTGATTGCTCTGTGCTGACCTCTGGAGTTAAGAGAAGATGTCACTTGAATTTGGTCATTGTTGCTCATCAATTTCCACCTAAATTTTAATTTTCATCTGCAAGGTATTAGTGCAGGTGCCAGGTGAACGGGGTGTCTCCTTTGTCCAAGCAGCTCACACCTGTGCCATTGCTGTTCTCACTAGGGGCCAGGTCACAGAGAAGTCCTAATTCCTGCAGCCTTGTGCTGCTCATGAATGCTCTTCCCTGGGCTCTGGCAGCAGAAGACCAGTCTGGGGGACAGGGTCTGAGCTCAGGTCTGTGCTGCCTGTAGGCTCAGCAGGCATCTGGGATGTCTTGGTCTGTGTCAGTGAAGAGTTACTACTGCTGCTCTACAGGGTGGTGCAGAGGGGGTTGTACCAGGGAAGATAAACTTTTAAAATCTAAGTCAACTATAATCTTTCAAAGCTACCCACAATTAAATTTGGAAAAAAAAAAAAAAATCACCAGATTTCAAGAATGTAATACAGCTCCCAAGTTACCTGAAAAGAAAGTGCAATCTAGTGCAGTGTGCTTTCACTTTCCCACTCTGTTCCTCCCATTTCCTTCTGATTTCTTGTGCTTCAGTCTGTGTCCAGGTATTGCTGGTATCTGCTTTGTCTGTGAAAATGAAATACCAGGAGGAATTGTACTTGGTGCAACTGGTGCACGTTTGGGAGTTAATTCACCAATGGAGCAGGCTGCCCTGGGGAATCCTGGCTGGACCACACAGCATGAGAGAAGAGTTGGGTGCCTGAGCCTGGCAAGTTCAAAGAGGAGCTGTCACTAAAAAAAAAAGCTAAAGGAAGGGCACAAGGGACTAGGAAAGACTGATCTCAAACCTTCTATGTCCTCTTGGCTCATGTTCTCATGCACAGGGGTGATGGATGCCCAGGTAGGGATGGCAGGCTGAAGAGCAGAGATCTGGAGCTTGGTTTCCATGCATCCTTGAAAAATGCTTCTGCTACTGAATAAGAGGGAACTGTAAGGCCACCTTTCAGCAGATGCTTCCCAGTGAAACATAGGTCAGTAACTGTGCTCTGACCCCCATAAACTGAGCTTTGCTGGGCCAGATGGATTTGGGGATTTTTACAGGACCTAGATACAACCTGGTGGTCCCTGTGGTTGACTTATGTCAGCACCTGGGGATATGAGACCTGCAGGAAACAGAGCCACTGGGAAATAAGGGCATGCACTTCCTCTGAGGCTAGAGACAAGCAGAACGGAGATTATCAAGGACCTTGGGTGTAAGTAAACATCAGATCTAAGTGAACAGAGCAGCAATCAAGGCCCAAATTCCTTGAGACACCAAGCTCCAGGAGGAGCTGGTCCAGCTTCCTCTGGAGTTAATAGGAACTGCAAAGGGTCCTGCAAAGGCACCCTTGTGACTGATGGTACCAGAAACACTTGGAAACATTTCAATCATGTTACAGCAGACTGTGTCTGCCTTTGCCTGGACTCAGAAAAAGTACAATGCAAGTACAAAAGAGTAGGTATGTACAATTTCATATTACTTCACTGTATTTGCCAGGCTGGAATAAGTAGTTTGAAAACAATTCACAAATTTACAGTTTAAAAAGGATCCTAATCATGGTTATAATATTTATCCTTTAAAACAACTCACTGAAAAAAAAACCCTTAATTTGCAAACTTGTTACCATAAATATAAGAGTTCTTGAGCTCACAAAATGTTGATACAGTTGAGCATGTTTTTATGAGCAAAATAATATACAGGCAATTCTGCTGTGGCTTGGGGCCCTATCAGTTCAAATTCCTAAATCCTTTAGGACAGAGCCTGTCTGCCCTGATTTATGTAATAGTTCTAATGAGTAACAGTCCCCATGATGACAAATAAACCAAGATAAAACCCTAAGAGAGGCTGGGCTGCAAAAAAAGAGCAGGGTCCCATTCACACTTTTACTAAACAAGCACATAAATCATCCTAGTAAGATATTTACCTGTGGGAGTAATCCCAAAGGGAAATAACAAACTTTCTTTTGGTTCCATGCCTGTGCTGTTTCTCTTGAATCTCTGGAAGGCATCTGCCTGAACTGGGTCTTCCAGCAGTCAGAGCTTTTTCCAGACTGTGACCTGTCCCTGTACATTCTGCCTAAATGTATCCTTCAGTGGCCTTCAAAAGGAGCACCAAACACCTCCTCCTGCCTCCTCAAAGAGGAGTGCACAGACAGGAAGGCACTTGTTGAGATGGACCTTGAGGAGTCTCTCTACCACCAAGAAAGCTCCTGCCTCTTGAATGCATCCCTACCATACCACAGAATCTGAAGTGTGTCTGTGCCAGCAGGAAACACATTACAATCATCACTGCTTGTTTCTGGCCAAACACATCTTGATAAAAGCTGTGACATTTACAGTGTGATACAGACCCATGTATGATGGTTTATCTGCAGCTCTGATTCCTTTTTGTTAGGAAAAAAGATATAATCACTGCCTTAATTCAGCTGGCAGGCTCAGGTGTGCAAAACCTCAGATTTAAAGTTGGTTTTCCAAGGGTAAATTCCAAAACATTTTACACTGCTACAAATTTAAAATAAAGCAAAAATTATGGCTACTCCAAACCCATGCAAAGCAAAGTAAATAGAGCAAAATATCTATATAAAACTTCATGGAAATGTTTTCAAACATTTCTAATATTCCTAGTTTTTCTTCATCAGCTTGTTCAATTTATTCAGTGACCAACCTACTACTCATGGTCTCACCTACAATTTTCCAGTAATTTTCCAAGAGAAGGCTTCTCAGAATATAAGCTTAAGTTTTGTTTCTTTCTTGGAATCAGCAGAAGCCTTTTTATTATCCTCACAGTGTAGTAGAGAGAATTTAGAGAACAGATCCAGAGCTGTGCATGTATTTTTGAAAGAGGTTTGCAGCAAATCCTCTGCATCCACTTATCCTGCTAAACTACAGTCTTGACCAGGTTTGCTTTTGGGTCTTCAGTGGTTTGGGCTAGCACAGGTTAAATATGGCTTAAGATGGTAGCAGCAACAGCCAAAGGCCAATTTATGACTTGGTATCAACATTTTGGTGGAAGCCAGCTTCTGGGGAACTCCAAAGCAATGCTCTTCTGTACTCTTCTGTACAACCTGCACAGTCAGATTTGTGGGAAACAAGTACAGGGTTGGGGCCCTCAAAGAATTGCAAGGAAATGATTTGCATGAATCTCTGCAACAATACTGCAGAAGTAAAAGATGCAAATTTAAGACAACAGAGAGCCTACATTCATTTTAGTGACTTATTTCAATGAGAAAGTAAGGAAGTAAGCATTTTTCTGGTGATGCAAACATTTGACACCAGAGGTGCATACTGGCTTCTCTGGCATTAAATGTAGTCAGATCTGAAGATGACAATTGCTTGTTTTCTGTTACTCAGTAGGTAGGAACAGTTCTGCACAATTTATCATGGTCCTTGATAATCCCCTGACTTTTAAGAGTTACGTGGCAGGTGGTCTTTCAGACAAGCCCGGCTAAACCCTAATGTTTGTAGGAGGGGAGTTCAGCCCATTCCATCCTCTGCCACTGAAGTCAGTGGGATTAGTGAAGTGAAGCAGTCACCCTAAAGCTGGTGTGACAACGTGTATGTCAGACAGAGGCCTGTCTGACTCCTCATACAAGGAGTCGCTGAAGAGCATCAAGTACAAGGCTCAGGAGCAGACCCACTTCAGCAAACTGGGAGACACTGGTTAGCTAAAACTTACCAACCCCATGTGCGAATCTGGAGCGCAACTTGCTTTCTGCCTTTAACATAGAGTTTGGGTTCAGGCGCTGTTCTGAAGAAGAACGTGTTGGTTTTGACACCATCCAAGCCATGCACACCATCCCTCTGTAACTGCACCAGATTCTACATCAAAGACATCCAAGTCTCATTTAAAACCCTCTTACGGGAAAATTGTAACATAATGGTAAAGATCTCACTGCATATTAGAGAAAACTTATAAAACCCCCAGAAAGTAAAATGCTGAACACCCAATGAATACCAAGGCTGTCTCTGAAATGTAAAACTTTCCAGTAGCTTACAGTGGTAATTCCACCCTAACCACCATTCTATTTTTATTTAAGAAACAAATGGAATTCCAAAAACTCTACCTAGAATCACTTGTTTCTGCCAAGCGGTTGTTCATGATGGCCAGAGACCCCACCCCCGCAGAGAAACCGTTCTGTCTCGTATTGATACAGACATTCCTCGGGTAGCCATTTGCTGTCTCGGACAACTGCTTCTGCAAAATGGCCAGCGAGACTTTACTGGATGCTGTGAGCTCCCTCATGGAGATCATCTCTCCAGAGAGCCTCCTGCCCTCGGTGTCACTGTCATACTGTCCGTCAGCGTCCATGGCGACGTTGTGGCGGCGCAGGCGGGCTCCTGGGGTGATGGCGTTGCGACGGCTGAGGCGGGTACTGGATTTACGGCACTTTGGGCAACATCTGCATTCGAATTTTTTCAACACCCAGTTCAAAATCTGTTTGATTACGATTGAGATGACATTAAAAAGGGAGTATATGCAACATACTCCCATTAATATAAACATGAAGTTCCCGAATCTGTATAATCCCTGATGCTGGTACACAGCGTTTTGGTTGCTTACCAAATCTCCAAAGCCGATGGTGCTGAAGGTGACAAAGCAGTAATACAAGGAGTCAATGTAGTTCCATCCTTCCACTGCCGTGTACATGGCGGAGGCGCAGCAGGAAAGGGCAATAGCAAAAATTCCCAGGATCAGCATCACGTGGTAAACGGACGGCTTCCAGCCTACAAGGCTGCCCACCCCGGACACAGCTGGCCCCCTTCGGAAGTTGGGAGGTAGGAGACCACTTCTTCTCAGCTGTCTCTCATAGCACGCCTTCATGATAAATGCCAGGAGAGAGATGATGCGCTCCAAGAAGAGGTTGAAGAAGAGGATAGTCCCAGCGCACCCGAAAAGGCCATAAACGATGAGAAACACTTTTCCAGCCACGGTTGCTGGTGTGGTCATTCCAAAACCTACGGTGTGGAGATAAATGGGCAACGTTACTAACACAGGTTTTCGAGAGTAAGCTCTATGTACCTTAACAAGGCTCCCATCTCGCTGGACAAAAGGAGTGATATCTCTAAGTCAGCTTAGGGCAACACAAAACCGAGTTTGTAAAGAAGGAAGAAGGAACAAAAAGTTCAATGAGATGACTAAAACTCTAAAGTGAGAAAAAAAAATCCTTGCAAGATGAAAGGATTATTATGTGTATTTAGAGAGCAACACAACTCAAAATGCTGGTGGAAGACTCACTGAGCCCAAACCTTTCCAAGGTGGGATGAGGTGAAGAGGCCATTTCCCTGCTCCCACATGTGCCAGCCATCACGACCTGATGGAAAGTTTAAGTTTTCTGTTCACAAGCTGAATCCCAGTGTAACATTTTTTCTTACAGGGGTCTGATTGTAACATTCCCACTGAGAAGATGGAAGTTTTCATGTTGTATAACAGGAGAAAAAAACCAAACCACCTTCCAAATATTGAATACTGTTTTAAAAATAACAGCACTTTTAAGTCTCTTCCAAATCCCAGCTGTGACTAGCCCACCTGGGATCATCACAGAGGGCAGGAAAAGCCATCATGCCACCGAGCTGCCTAGCAGACTGGGAGCACTGGGAACTTGCAGATGGATAATTACAGCAGGGAAAAACATTGCTGCACAGTTGAGCAGAAAAATCAGAGTATACAAACTCTGTGAAGATCCAGCAACAATATTAATTCAACTCTTCTTCATATGAATTACTTATTGTAATATTATTTATTATTATGACATTACTCACACACAAAGTTTTATACATAAACAGTAATGTAGCTAACAGATGGTTAAATAACAGCAAAGTGAACTTAAATTAGCATGCAAATAAATACAGTAATTTTACTCCATGTTATTTGCTAATACCAGTTATCTTATGAAAAAGATTACATACATTTCACATCCTATCTCAAGAAGATTCTTCTGAAACTCAGTTCTGCAGGTATTGGCTTTTTTTCTGCTATTCTTCCCTGTAAAAACACTTGGTGGCTCAGGCAGAAAACATATTGATAGGATTGAGGTGATTGCTTATGTCCTATGAAGAAATAACCACATCTAATCTAAATTAAAGTTTTGTGAAAAATCCACATTCCAAAATTTCATTGCTGTATTGTTCCACCAAAATACTGAGCAAGTAATGTATTCAAGGAGGTAAATATCAACACCAGACTATATAAACATTAGTTTGTGAAGGAAAAGCATAGAGCATAATGAAATCATTACAGAGCATAATGAAATAATTCAATTCAGTTTATTACCTTGACACACCTTTATAAACTGCAGCAGGATAATATTGCCTATATACAATGAGTTGAGATTGCTGCTTGAAATCCGTTGATCTACTTTTGCAATGGCTGAATTTTTCTGGCAAGTTTATCTGTGCTCCCTTCCTACTTTCTTGATAGAGAATTTCCCATTGGTTGACAGAAGAATGTAAATGATCATGACAAGTAAACTCGCATGTATCATTTCAGTGACATAAAGCTGAATGAGGGAAGAGGTGATCCTACTTTCACAACAGATTTGACATGTTCAGAAACAGCTGTGTGCCAGCGAGTCAGCCTACACCTCATAATCTGAGTAACCTGGTCTAGTGAAAGGTGTCCCTACCCATGTGAATAGATGACATTTCACGTCCCTTCTAACCCAAACCATTCTCTGATTTTAGGATCAAAAGCATCATTGTAAAAAGAGTATTTTGTGTAAAAGTCAGTGAAAAACTTGCACAGTATTGTCAGAAAATATTACGACAGAGGTCATTACATTTTGCTTTCTGGATCCACTGTCTTCTCTCCAATTTGCAGAGTTAACAAGACCACCTTTGAGCAGACCTCTAAAAAGCCTACCACTTCTGGGAAGTTCTCAGTTCCTTCTCTGTGGGGTGGACCTGTTCTCTGGATTGGGCTGGCTGGTAGCAGGAGTCCTCTCATTTAATGATGCATATTCAAAAGTGCCTGGTCCTCAGAAGGAGCTGGGGAGCCTGTTGTGGTTGCCAGCTAGGGATACACAGCCAACTTGTTATGGAGAAGGCATCTGTTTGCCTGTGCCTTGTCAGCAAAGCACTTAAACATGTGCTTCACAGCAAGCATGTGAACATCACCATCAAAATAAATGGGTTTATTGTCACACATACGGCTAGACACATTTATTAATTAGGGGAAAAAAAAGGGATAGCAACAGTTTGGATCAAGCTGTAAATGTGCTGAAGCCTTTTACTATTTTCTGGTGATCATTCAAGAGAGGTGATGAAGTTTTGTATTTTTGATACTGTTTGTTTCTTCAAGATTTTCTGGTGCAAAATGCTTCCAAAATTCAGTATGTAGCTAGGCAAGCTGAAAGGGCCCATCATAGCAATGAGAATGCTAAGGAATACATCAAACAGGCTAAAAATGAGGCTAGGCAAACACTGAATCATTTAGGTTGGAAAAGACCTTTAAGACCATTGAGTCCAACTGCTAGCCCAGCACTGCCAAGCCACCACTAAAACACATCCCTTAGGTCACCAGCTGGCTGAGGGAAGCAGTCACGGGCTCTCTGTGCAGGGTCTTTCTCTGCCAGCTGTGTTTGTCCCTTTGTGTCACCCCAAGCATGAGGAGTTGCTCCTGGTATGTTCTGTACCTCATCTCTGAGCTCAGCCCCCACCCAAGGGTAAGAACACTGTGATGCCTGGATGAAGCAAACTCATCCAGAACTGCCTATGCTTCCAACACAGTACAGGAGAAAACCACAACAGGGCTTTTTGCTTTTCATGGCCCTGAGACATATTTTACAGGTGCCTTGGGGTTGACTTTGTGTGGCTCAGATGCAATATCTGAACCTCCCTCATGCCAATTCTGCCCCTCCACTTCAGATACAAGCTCTAGGGCAGCATTCATTTCAGCTGGTTGATATTTCTCTTCCACAAAGAGAATTAGCAGAGATGAACTGATAAAAACTCTCTTCAGCAGCCTCTCACGGTTAAGTGCTGGCATTTAATGAGACCCTCATCCTGACTTGCATAACAGGTTTGTGGTTACAATTCTGCTCATCTGGAACTTTAAATTACTTAAGCTAGGGATGGATTCAAGAGGTAGAACAGATGGACAAACTTGTGACATATGCTTCCTGTTGCTCTTGCTTTCTTTTCTTTTACCCACTTTCTTATGAGTAAGAGATGGTTGATGCCAGAAGACAGAAAGGAATAGCAGCTTTAGTACTTGTGAGCTCTTCTCTCAGTCAAATTACTTTGGCAGTTACCTTGTCTTACTACATTTTGAGATTAACAAGGGTGACAGTTTTGCTGTAAAAGAAGTATTTACTCAGAGATGCAATGAATTTTTGGTCAGTTCAAAAACTGAACACAAGGAAGTCACAGAAAACAACACAAGAAAGGGCATAATTTGTCCCCACCTCTTTTAGCCACACCAGTTCTTGTAAGCCATAGGACTTCACTCACACAGCAGGTCAGCACACTGGAGCATCATTTGAAATCCCAGAGTGAAAAACCTACTTAGATCATCAGAGTAGCATCACCTCTATACCACTATATAACCATCATGTAGTTATATTTAAGGAAATCAAAAGAAACTAAAATGGTTGAAAGTAACTTTTTAAACAAATGGTTCCCTAGAGATCAACAACAACAGAGACAACTCTAACCAGAATGCTGCTTCCAGAGGGAAAGAAGTTCTTGCAACATAAAGTCTAAGAGATGGGGGTTACATAACACACAGAGAGAAAAAACGAGCTACCAAATTCCATGTTTTCCTGCTTCCCATATTTTCCTGCTTCCTGTCTTTTTTGCATTTGCTTTACTTCATAGCTCTCCAACAGTCCTGGCTGGTATTGACTGACACATAAACCATACTATACACTTATATAGGAACCAAACATCCTAGTCTGAATCCCATGTTTGGGTTCTGGTGCTTCCTTCCACCCTCTCCCACCTGTTAGCATTTCATCATTATTTCCCATGAGAATCATACCTGTATATTTTACAACTGCCTCTCATTTATTCTCTAGCTCCTCACCACCTAACATCCAGGAACAGTTGCCTTGGATACAGGGTCACAGCTCGGAGCTGACAAAACTGCTGCACCCAGAGCTTTTACCCAAGGAGTGGGAATATGACAAGTGAGTTCTTCCAACTGGCTCTGCTTTTCCAGACTACAAATGAAAGACTTACTTTCCCTTTAACATCTTTCTCAACCTGCTTCACTAAAATACCCCACTCTGGGCTCAAACAGTAAATTATTTTAGAGCTTTTCTACCGCAAAGCCTTTAATTTAAAAGTTGCTGTAAAATCCCATTTGATCTTATTTAGATTACTATCTGCAAACACCTCCTGAACAGCAGCGGTCTGTCCAGCACTATGTGAATTAAGAGCCCTTAAGCTGGACCATTTCTGAATAAATGAGATACAACTGCAGTTTTTAGGGCTGGACTAATATGTATCATAGACAAGCTTCAAGTCCTTGGTGACTCATGTACTGGGGCAGATATTCCACAGAGAAAACACTGAGTGACCCTGCAAATAAGGACTGACTACCATAATCATTCTCTCTATCCATTCATCCAGGAATGAGCACCATGATAAGCCTAATGAATGTAGTTAAAAACCACCCATGCCTCTGCTAATGCTCCTTCTTTCATTTCCACCTGTGAAACATCAGTCAGGTGTTTGAGGCAACTGCTACTCAAAAGGAGCCACGCTGGCAGAACAGAGCCAGATGATTCATTGGACTTCAAGGACTTTCAAAGAGCTGCAGGTGACTATTACAGGCTTTCTACAGGACCAGTTTTATTCTCTTTATAAACAATGGTGATCAGGTTATTGGTTTTCCAAAGTGCTGTGATGCCTTAGTGATCAGTGAACACCAGAATACCCTTGGCATTTCTCTACTTTAAAACACAGGCTAAAGTGTCATGGCTACATATTCATTCCTCTTTGATGTATGTTGGTTT